TCTCCCCTCCTCGTACCACCCCCTAGATCCAGGGGGTTGAGGGCAAGGGAGTGGGGTGGGGGGGGGGAGGGAGGGAGAAAGGAGGGGTCCTGACAGAGCTCGGTAGGATAAGGGAAGGGAGAGGGAAGGGAGAGGTCAGGTGATGTGAGGGAGAGAGAAGGAGAGAGAAGCGATAGAAAGAGAGGAGACGAGAGGAGCGAAGGTTTGGACGCACAACCTGAGTATGAACTGAGGGACGAGCAAGGCAGGAGGATGAGCCAGGTCTCCGACGACGAGCGGGAGAGGATGGAGGAGGACGAGAGGAAGCGGCTGCAGCTGATCGAAGCGATCGAGAGAGGAGATGAGGTCCAAGTGAGAGCGCTGGCCGTGAGTGCAGGAGCAGAGCGACTGAAGCAGAAGCATCCAGTAGGACCAGCGAGAGTCACGACCATAGTCAGCGGCAGCTGGGATAAGACGCTGAGGGTGTGGGACCTTGGGAGCATGGAGGAGAAGGCTTGTCTTGAGGGTCATAATCACTGGGTGACGAGTGTGGCGATCAGCAGGGACGGCAAGACGGCCGTCAGCGGGAGCTGGGATGAGACGCTGAGGGTATGGGACCTTGGGAGCATGACGCAGAAGGCTTGTCTTGAGGGTCATAGGAGTACGCCATGGAGCGTGGCGATCAGCGAGGACGGCAAGACGGCTGTCAGCGGGAGTGACGATGAAACGTTGAGGGTGTGGGACCTTGCGAGCATGACGCAGAAGGCTTGTCTTAAGGGTGATGGTGGTCCGATCAACAGCGTGTCAATCAGCGGGGACGGCAAGACGGCTGTCAGCGGGAGCTGGTCTAGAACCTTGAGTGTGTGGGACCTTGGGAGCATGACGCAGAAGGCTCGTCTTGAAGATAACAGTGAGTGCGCATGGAGCGTGGCAATCAGCGAGGACGGCAAGACGGCTGTCAGCGGGAGTGACGATAAGACGCTGAGGGTGTGGGACCTTGGGAGCATGACGCAGAAGGCTCGTCTTGAGGGTCATAGTAAAGCGGTAGGGATCGTGGCGATCAGCGGGGACGGCAAGACGGCTGTCAGCGGGAGTAACGATGAGACGATGAGGGTGTGGGACCTTGTGAGCATGAAGCAGAAGGCTTGTCTTGAGGGTCATAGTGGTTGGGTGACGAGCGTGGCGATCAGCGAGGACGGCAAGACGGCTGTCAGCGGGAGTGGGATGAGTACCTTGAGGGTGTGGGACCTTGTGAGCATGACGCAGAAGGCTTGTCTTGATTTAGGTGTACGAGCTCATAGTGGTCTACAAGGTCATAGTGCTTGGGTGACCTGCATGTCTATCAAGTGTGTCACGGAGTCCGATGGCTCGGCGCTGCACGTGGCGGCGGCGCGAGGCGTCTGGTCTGTCTGTGAGAGGCTGCTGGAGGTCGGGGGCGGAGAGCTCGGGGAGCTGCGAGACTCGCTGGGACGAACAGCGGCGGAGGCAGCGCGAGAGAGGCAGGACGAGGAGCTGGCGAGCAAGATAGAGGGCTGGATGCGGCGGCTATGGAGCGGGGAGCTTCTGTCAGCGGCACTGCAACGCAGCGTCAAGCCAGCGCAGGAGGGGATCGAGCGACGTGAGAGGTGTAGAAGCGACAAGAGCAAGAAGCGCAAGCGCCAGCGCCAGCAGAGAGACGCGGAGCAGCAGGCGTCTGACGACGACAACCAGCATGGCGCTGTTGCTCAGGTCCTGTTTGTGTCTTAACGAGGGTCGATGACTGACGTGATCCTCTCGTCTCCAGCTGGGAAGCGTGCCATCGGTGGACTACGACAGCCTGGTCGACAGTCGTCAGGTCGGCTCAGGCTCCTCCAAGCTCATCTACAAGGCTCGCTGGCGGCAGCCGCACGCCAGCACCGCTGACGTGGCCATCCTACGTATCCGAGGCAGCAGAGCCACTGCCAGCAGACAAGCTCTCGAGCAGGAGGTCAAGACCTGGCACCAGCTGGGCCGTCACCGCAGCCTGCTTGGCCTCCTTGCCGTCACCGTCGAGCCAAGCTCTGGCGACTACTGCCTGGTGACTGAGTACGCTTGCCAGGGCTCTCTCGAGAGGACCTTGCACAGCTTCGCGGAGGAGGAGGAGACGATGGGCGAGCTGGTGCAGCTGGAGGTGGCGAGGCAGATCTGCGACGGGATGGAGCAGCTGTCGCTGCACGATGTTGTACACCGGGAGCTGGCGGCGAGGAGCGTGCTTGTCTGGAGTCTGCAAGGCAGGATCACCTCGGGGTGAGGGTCAAGGTAGCCGACTACGGGCGATGGATCATGGGCTGGCGCGGTGACGGAGTGAGTCGGGTAGGGAGCGAGAGCTCGGCAGGCTCGAGGGCTGGACGGGCGCGATGGATGGCGCCGGAGAGCTTGCTGAGACATCGCTACTCGGAGAAGAGCGACGTGTGGGCGTTCGGGGTGACGCTGTGGGAGGTCTGGACTTACGGCAAAGTCCCTTACTGGGCCATCACCGACGATGAGCTTGTAGGACCCAAGGTTGTGGACGGGGAGCGACTAGCGGCTCCTGCTGCATGCCCTCCAGCAGTGTATGCGATCATGCGAGAGTGCTGGCGGGAGAAGATCAAGGAGCGGCCGAGCTTCAGCGAGCTGCGGAAGAAGCTTCAGCAGCGATACGATGATGCCGTCGGAGAGCGCGGGCAGCCATGCGTCGTCTGCATGGATCGGAGAGCTGAATGGGCGCTGGTCCCCTGCGGTCACAAGTGTCTGTGCGGGGACTGCAAGGAGGCAGCGACGTCGAGGTCATGCCCGATGTGTCGCTCGAGCGGGACGAGCATGTGCAGGATCTACTAGTGACTAGGGAGACATGCGAGGAGACTGGTCTAGGCCTCTCATCGCTTGTGCTTGCACTAGTGAGCCATCTACTGCCGTATGACTCGGATAGCACATGTCTTGTACAGCCTCGCAGCTTTCATCCTCTACTCACCCGAGTCCCTCCTCGGGCCCGGGACGGGAGTAGCTGAAGCACCGGCCCGGGGCCCCGGGGCCTCGGGGCCAATTCGCTCCTGTCTCCCTTGTCATCATCCTTCTTCACAATGTGACAGCTTGTCTCCCTTTGCCTCTCTTCTGTCTGTCTTGTAAACATTTCTTGTTCTCTTCTGCTTGTTCTTCTGCTCTTGTTTCCGCTCGCGTCTGTCTCCTCATACATACCTCACGTCTTATCCTTCTATCTCTCCCTCTTTCTGCATCTGGGCTGCTGGTCGTGATTCTGCTCTTTCTCTCTTCATTCTCTCTGTGAAACCTTTTTCCCTTTCTCACCTTCTCTTAAAACATCCTATCTTGTAAACATGTCAAACATCTTATCTTTTAAACATCTCAAACATCCTATCTTGTAAACATCTCTCGTTGTCTACTGCTTGTTCATATTTCCTGTTTCTCACCCTCTCTCTCTCTCCCTTCCCTTGTCTTTCTCTCTTCTCTCGTTGCTCTCTCGTTGCTCTTCCCTGTCAAGCTGCTTCTCTTTCTAGCCTCAGCTGTCAGCAGAGAGAGAAAGACGAGACGGGGGAAGAGAGAGAAGAGGAGAGGGAGAGGAGACAAGTGAAGAACAGAAAAGCGTACCGTCAGAGGAAGCGCACGGGGAGGCAAGGGAGAGGAGAGAGGATAAAAGAAAGAGAGCGAAAGAGAGGAGACGAGGAGAGAGGAGGCGAGAGCTTCTCCTCTTGCAGAGGAGGTAAGGATGGAAGAGGAGAAGACAGCAGAGTAGAAAGGCGATCAGAAAAGCAAAGGGAAGGGAAGAGGAGAGGAGAGAGGAGGGGAGGAGAGGAGACGAGCAGAGCAGGGGAAAGCAGAGAGCAGAGAGCGGAGAAGAGGAATAGACAGGAGGGAGGTAGTGGAGTGCAATGACAATGGGAGCGGACAAGGGAGAGGACGAGTAAAGAGAGATGGAGGAGCGAGGAGAAGGGGGAAGAAGGAAAGAGACGGAAAGAAGGAAAGAAAGGGACTGCGAGGAGCAGATCTGACCGGAGAGAAGAAGATCTTGCACGAGAGGAGAGGAGAGGGGAAGCAGGTGAAAGGAGAGCAGATCAAAGAGAAGAGAAGATCAGGTCAGAGGAAAAGGCTGGCGGAGAGGAGAGTAGATAACAGAGAGAAGGCTCTATATATGAGCACAATAGGTAAGGAGCCAATGCAAGGAGTGTGGATGTGGCTCTATATGCATCCACAACAACGGAAGGTGTAACTGTAAGGGCTGCGAGACACAAGATGAACAATGTAGCCACAAGAGAAGAAGGCTGGATTGTGAAGATGAACAATGTAGCCACAAGAGAAGAAGGCTAGATTCTGAGGAGTTTACTAGAGACTTGTAAGAATTAACATCCAAACATTGATCAAACAATAAGCTTGTATTCAGGGTGCACACTTAGTAAAATATACCCCCTGGATCCTTGTTGTTTAATCTCTCCAATCGTCTCCAGACATGCAACCATATAAGCAACCATATAAGCAACCATATGAGGCTGCACAGTCAGTAAGATGTACCCCCTGGGTTCTCGTTGACTACAACCATGCGTTTCTAGACTTGCAGCCATATGAGCAATACTCGTCATCATATCCATTGCACAGTTTGTATACCATTCCACAATCCCAGCATGACAACTCGAGCTCCGCTTCACATCTCTTGCAGTGTCGCTCCTTTATCAAGCGTCCATCGCGACATACTGCGGTTTCAATCGCGTCGAGGTGCTCAAACACATCATCACATGTAGAGCATCTCCATACAAAATAATTATCTGTGCAGGTCTTGCAGGCAGACAATCTATTGCACTCTTCAGAAGGTGTCCAAGAGCAGCAATTCTGGCCCTTAAGTTGGCATTGTTGAATTCCTCGATCTCTGGCTTGCTTACCTCCATGTACCTATCAAAGATAATGTCCTTGACGTCACTCAAGCAAGAGTTCTCAAGATTGATCCTGTTGAACTTCACAATCAAAGGATTCATTGTCGTTTTTTCCACATCAGACATCCACCTTGTCATTTCTTGATCAGATATCTTTGAAATGATTGCTATCTATCCTTTTAAACGATCCTGAAGCTCTGTATGCCCAGCCCCTTGATCCCTTTGGTCCTCTCCCTAGTAGAAAGCCACCCGCCTCAGCCAATCAGCAGCAAATGCTTAAAAGGCAGCAACAAGACATACCCGGAAGGTACCCTCGCACACAAAAGGCAGCAACAAGACTTCTTCTTCTTTTTTTTAGTTTTACACTGCCCCCGTAGCCGCTGGTAGGATTAGCTTTTCTTTTTTGGACCACCCCTCCTCCCTCCTCTCCCCTCCTCGTACCACCCCCTACCCCTCCCTAGACCGGCCTCGCACCCCCTCGCTCCCTCGCTGCACGTACCCCCCTATCCCCTCCCCTCCCCTCCCCTCGCTCCTCGGCCCCGCCATGGCAGCGGACCAGGGAGCGCTCCGGTCCTTCATCTGCCCCATCAGCATGGCGCTCATGACCGACCCTGTCAGTGTGCTGGTGGCCA